GCATAGTATTTTATATATGATTGAAAAATTGAATTTAATCATTCTGGAATAGAAAATGTAAGATAAAAAAAATCTGAGATTTTATGATATAAATAAGATTGCTAAAGCATAAGCAATATTTTTGATAATTTGAAATAGAAGAAATGAATTAAAAATTTTTTGTCCGGAAAATTACAAAAGAAATATGAACATGGTATAAGATTTCGATAAACAAATATTTTACAATTCATAAAGTTAAATTTATTTTTTTCGGCTATTTTTGCATCGGTATATATTCAGAAATTAGGAGATACTTGATACTGTTAAGTGTTAAATACACTATGATAGTTCTATTTCGCTATCCTCTTCCATCCATTTTAATTAAGCAAATTAGATATTCTATTACTCATTAACCTTACAAAAAGTTACTGAATATTCGTTGACCAAAATTTTCAATATTATACTTTATGAAAGATTTAATTATTTCCAGTATATGTTAATTACTGAAAAATTGAAATTTTATTGACAAAAAAAAAAAAATCAAATGTTAAAATACAAATAATTTCTGCATTCATTCTTCAAAATTCGATGACTTCAACAAATTCTTACTAAAAATAAATTTAGGATTGTAGTAATTTTTATGAAACTATTTAGCTATATTTAATTGGTAAATGGATTCTATCAGAAATTTTGCTACCTATTATTGGAAATAATCAAATAATGATTCATGCAGAAGAATTCATCATTCAAATTTACATGAAATATTAAAAATTAATCGAATAAATGCAAATTACTAGCGGATTAACATCAAGGATTCGCTTTCTGTTGTATAAGACAATACAAATAACCACAATTGGATCCATAGCTTTAACAAAGATTAATGATGCTTAAAATAAGATGAGAAAATCCCACGGATCAAATTTCTTCATTGTTAGTTTTCATTACAAATTAGAGAATGAATGGATATAGATGTGGGACAGTTGCGCCCATTTCCTTTCAAAACCTTTTGTATCATTCAGTTGATAATTTCATCATTGTGATTCCTTTTCAATTTTTTTTTTTTTAATTTAATAATTGAACTATTATTTTATCATCCATTCACATTGTTTATTTCTTTCTTACTCGTATCATCGCAAATAAATAAACTTTGTAAAAAAGTGTGTTATTTAAAATTTTGGATAAACTAATTCTTGAATTTTGTAAAGAACAGTATCACTGAAATATTTGATAATAGTATAATCAGTGATGAGAAATATTATGCATTGAACACAATAACTGTTAAATAAAATTTGAGCAAACTCAATAATATCATCGCTGTGTTATGAGGGCTGATATGATATGACTGATGGAATTTGTTTGCAAAATGATAATTTTTCTCATTTGTTATTAAATTGAGCCAATCGCTATGACGAAATTTTCTCGTATGAGAAAATACAAAAGTTAGATGAAAATACAACAAACTTTGAAAATAATTCAATTTTTCTCTTTGCGCATAAAATCCAATCAATTGTTGCTTCTTAATGATTACCGTCATATTATGAATATCAACGAATAGAAATCGTTTATTTTGTTTATTTATCTTAAAAGTTTTGAAATTAAATATTTACTCTTTTCTTCCTTTTCTTTACTACGTTTTCTATCATTCATTACTAATCTTCGAAAATATATCAGATTTTTTTCAAAAAAAAAAAGTTTTCTGAAATGCAATAAAAAAAACCAATTAATAATGGAGGGAGAAAAAATTTTTCAACTGTTATTTTTAAATTAAAAAATTATGATTGCATATTTATGTGAAAATTTTATCATTAAATGAAAGAATATAACATAATTTTTAAAATAAATCTTATGCTCTGTTCAAATTTTACATTTTACTTTAATAATAAATTCATTTAATTCGCCTTTCCCCCCTCAATTTATTTTCAATGTCGATTTTTTTCTTTTTTATCTTTTGATTAAAAACACAAAATTTCGAATTCGTTATGAATTCTTGTTCCTGTTTCACAATAAAATTCAAAATTTCCTATTTTTAAGCAAAGGAGTAAAGAAGAAAAAAAATTAATTTTATCATCACCATTTTCTGAAAAAAAAATTTTTTAAAAAATATTAGATAGAAATATTATTAATTATTGAATGAATAGTAATAATATATATTTATTTCAATAAGATATATATGAGAAAAAGACAAATAAAATGATAAATCATATTACTGTAAGAAAAACGACAGATTAAGTGATAATATTATTGCATTGCAGACTGATTGATATTAACATGATAATCCACTAAAGATTACGAATGTTAACATGCATATAAGAGAATTATCGGATCCGATGAGTGGGCATCCGTTGCACTTGTCGAGATCATCAAAAATGGCGATGTGATGTGGCGCACAAGTGCATCGGATGCAATTATACCACACACTGGTATGTGTTAAGCGGTGTCTTGATCAGGTGTAGGCAAAACGGTGTTCGATAAGAGCTTAATCACTTCATGATATAGCTACTTGTACAATTCAAATTTGCAGTATTTCGCATATTTTTTGGAATGTTGCCTTTTAAGGTAACAACTAAACTGGACATACGTGAAGGTTGGAAGCTATACATGCAAATTTGACATACGTGATATGTACAAATTGTGTAGAGAGAGAGAGAGATAGCATATTTGGGAAAAGCATACGTGCAGTTATTTATTTTACGTGTCCTTTTTTTTCGTTCTTTTGAATATTACCTTTTTACATACGGCAATCATTTTAAAAGCTTTTGCATGTAAATGTGTAAATTTTATTTTAAGATTTCATTAACTTTTTTTTGAAGATTTCATTAACTTTTTTTTGACAGATTTCATTAACTTTTTTTTAACTTCATAAATTTCAATTTAGCTTTTGATGAAAAGATGTATCGTTTGAAAGTTTAGATTAAATTTTAAAATTTTAATAAATTATAAGCTAATAAATGAGTAAATAGGGATGGATTATATAGAAGGAAAAGCACAAATGAAACAAATTGATACTTTTACTGATAAATATTTCGTTGGCATTTGAAATTTATTACCATCATATATCTCATTTCATCATATAATAATTAATTTTAAAAAAACAGGATAAATTTAGTAAAATGATGAGAATTTTTTAAGGGTAGTATTTTTATAAATTATTTTATATGGTATAAAATTTGTTATAAATCCTCTCTTTCACCGTGGCAACTAAATTTTATCCATTCTTTTTTGCTCGGCTTAGTTATGATTGGCTTCCTTGGACGATTTGTATCCATTGGAGATATGAGATAGAAGAAAATGATGAAAAAGAAGTTTGAAAAAATAATGGAAGGAATTTTTGAAAAAATTAAGAAAAAGAGGTATAAATGATTGTGAAAGATTGATAATAACAGTTTGAAATGATATAAAAATGGTTAAATTGAGAAAAAGAATGATTTTCAAAAATTAAGCAAAAGAAATGAGCCAAAAATTACTTTTCTTGCTTCTACCTAACTTTAATGCCTACTGGATGCTTAAACTTTTGCAAGAAAAAAAAGATAAAAATGCAGAAAAAAGAGGCATTTATTAGCGTAATGAATTTATCTTCGCCTATTATCCTATTTTTATTGCAGTTAAATTCAACTATTAAACGCTAATTGAAATTGTTAAAATTTGAAGTTTAAAAAAACCGTGAATGGTACTAGATAATAGCTTGTTATTCTACATGTTCCGTTTCACATCATGGAAGATAATAAAATGTACATGTAACATTGTCAATAATTTGCTATTTAACCAGAAAATAGATTAGACAAAGTGATTTGACATGATCATCATCGAGAAAAAGATAAAAGAAAGGGTCAAGCATTTGAACTTTTTTTTTTTCACGCATTATCTTTTTTTTTTCACGCGTCAAAAATACGTATTCATGCTAAAAGAGGAAAATAATAAATAAATGGTAAACAATAACGGTAATAATGATTCGTTAATTGAAGTATTTAAGAAGTATTAATGTTAATCATTATATAATATTTAATAATTGATATACGACAATATGCTGAAAGCAGAATGCCAATTTTTTTCTGTTATAATTTTTAGAAACCACTTTCTCGAAATGCTAAAAGAACTTGTTAATTTGCATAATTAATTATGATTAACGGGAACTGGAAGAAAAGTCGTTGTAACTATCTTTTAATTTGCTAAGAGAAACTTAAAAAAAACGAATATAAGGGATAAAATTTAATTATTTGGAGTTAAGAGCTTGTATCAATTAATTAAGAATAAAGGTTAAAGTTGAAATTGAGTTGGTCAAAAGTAATCGATTATATCTCAGCAAAAATGATCACTCTTTCACATTAACGTTCTTAGTTTTTCTTTTTTCATGCCGTAAAATTATTATAGTTGTGTAAATGATCTGTTTATCATTAAATTGATTTATATCATCAAATTATTATCTTATTGACATACTTCTTTTATATTCATGGAACTCAGTTACTATTTTATCATCACAATGAAGTTATATAAAATTTTAAAAATTTGGAAAGATATGCAAAAAGAAAAAAAAAACAATACTAATGTTTTATTTAAGATATCAACTGGTGAGATTTTAAAATTTTTATTCATCAAAAATTAAATAACCTGGTTTATAATAAGATTTATCTGATATTAAAATATAATAATGATTTATTGCATTTTCTGTTTTTCCTCAAAAAAAGGCTATAGAAAAATACAGTATGCAAGAATAAATTTTTTAAAAAGGAATATTTCAATGAAACATTTAATTATTAAAGAAGTGAAACAAACAAAATTATTTGTCTATGAAAGCATATTAATGATTTTTTTTGAAATTTTTTGAAATTCATTGAAATAAAATATATCAAGCATTCAATTCATCATTTGTTACCATTTTTGAATACACACATGTTATAATTAGTTTTATGAAATATATAAAATGTCGTAAAAAATTTGCTATTTCAAAAGCACAACAAACGATCAAAACTTATTATCATATGAAATGTGATGCACAGAAAAAAAAGAATTGAAAAATGAAAATATCAAAGAAATGAATCGCAATAATCAACTTTTGAGTTACTACTTGATAATAATGACGTCTCATCCATGCCATTTGTAACTTTTCGTTGTAAATGATTCGAAGGTAATGAATCGATCTTAAGCTCATCATCATCATCATCATCATCATCATCATCATTATTATTATTATCATCATCATCATCATCATCATTATCATCATTTCCAATCGTTATTGTCGGATTACTAAACAAATAGAATGGTAAAGCAATTGTTGTTAATGAAAGAGAAATTGCCCTTTCTTTTCTTGCATTTTGAAAAAAAAAACAAAAATTAAATAAATTAATTTGAGTAAAACGATAGGATGTGATTTTACAAACACTTATGAATGTTTGGTTTAAATATTGCTTATAAACAATTAACATCAAAAAGGCTCTTTTATTTCATTTAAGCACATTTTGCATGATCATTAAAATTATTTAAGTAATGCGTCGATGACCATTATGCAGCTATTGGTCATTACAGTTAAATACTGATAAATAAGTGTTAATCTAAGAAAGATAGAAGATAAAGAAAAAAATGAAATAGAAATTTTTGTTTTATTTTATTTACACTTAATACACTTAATTTCAAAATAATATTAGGTGATTAAAGCATTATTTAGATGATAATGATGAAAATTAGGTATCTTAAATCATTTCTAATTTCATGAAAATTATTTTGTAAAAATTTCATGGTTTCTCTAATTTGTTAAATTGTTGTCATAAAATGCTTTTTAATTAATTCATTCGCCAATTTTTAGTCATAATTATATACGGGAAATTAAAAAAGGACCGTATATGATGTCGATTTTCATGACCACTTGAAGCAATAAAATTGCAATGTAATGGTCCCGCACATTCCACAAGACTAAAGTTTGAGGAAAAAACAGTTAACAATTTGAAGAAAAAAAAAATTTAGCAAATATAATTTAAAAAAAAAAAGTCATCTTACTTAATTACAAAAGGAAACAACATGCTAATTGTTGAAATTTATTAAAATGTTATGCGTTTACGTGAGTGGACAATCACAAATTGTAAAACATAAAGCAGTGCATAACTGAAATGAATCTTGCAAAAAAA